TATGGTAGGTATAGTCACTGAAATGAAGGGGAGAAAAAAACAATTATTGATTTATAATTTGTCCAATTATTATTAATTGAAATGTGTATTATACCTACACATTCTTATTACTATAATTATATTTTTTATCATCTTATATATTATACGAAAAATAATCTATTATTATGAATGGTTTAGACTTTAGTTCTTTTTACGATTGGTATAGTGGTATAGAACTAATTAGGTATCCCCTATTACTTTTTGTTTAACATTTTATGTAATGTACTTAATATTTTACATGGAMAAAGGTTAATTAACTATTTGCTTTCTGTGRCGTTATCGCGGTTACCAGGTTACCTATCGGCTATCACTAAGATATCTTAGTTCATCATAAATTTTGAGAAAATCGATTTTAGATATTGGTGTAACTTTAAGACATATTACTGTAAAAACATGACATTTTCACTGAATGTTTATACTAGAATTTTCTATACATGCTAAAATTTTCAAAATATTTAAAATCTTTTTAAGTTATTTATAGACATTTGAAATTTTCGATCTTTTAGTTTTTATTTTTATTCGTTGGGTTAGAAAGCTTCAAAATTAATACAAGGCTCCTAATAAATTGTCACAATGGTAGTCAAAAACTATTGGTAAAATACATATAGTTACTACAATTTTTATTAATAAACACAGGAAATTCAAATTTTGACAAAATACGTAAAAATCATGAAAATTTGCAATTTATTTTGAGTTATAAATTCATAAAAATGTATATTTTAAAATCTAAGGTTTGAAAATGSAATACAAGATTCTTTATGAGTTTGTCTACTTCTATCAAATAAAAACTGTCCTAACCGGAAAGTCAAATTAAATTTTTATGAGCATTTACCTACATTTTTTTTCTTGAAATAATAACAACGTAATTAATATAGTATATAACTTATCTTAGACTGACAAACCGTCTCCACTCAGAATCGTTTGTCGTACCTATATATTACAGTAGCTCACTTGTAACCTACTGTAGAGCAGAGCAACATCCACTTACTTGTTTGAAATAATCAACAAGTTCATAGGTACATTTTAGATTCTGAACGAAGTGATGAATGTATTGATTTTACAATGATGTGTTTTTTTTTTT